GGTTTTTCTTCTTAATCAATTTTTGTGGAAGTGGCGCACTTTTTAAATAATGAATCGACTTTTTGCCCTAAAAATGAGCATTAAATGTTTATAAAAAAAAAAGTTTACATTCAATCAAAAAACGGCTACGTACTTCCAAAGAGAATATTGTTGTGAAGCTACTGTACAAATTTCAATTCGATCCATGCAATAGTCACTGAGAAATCCGTCCTCCCAGTTTGAAAAATGTAGTTTCGAGAAAAACGCGTTTAAAGTTTTATAAACACTTTAATCGCGCTCTGAGGCGCTGCAGCAAAATCGATAATTGAACTTTTTAACATTTCTTTTTCACTATAAATCAAATGACGTATTATTTTTATGACCCTAAAGTATCGTTTAAGGAAAAAAAAATCGGTTTTTTTGAAAATCCTAGAGTGGTTTCACCCCTTTTAATAAACACTCTAAAAACAAAATTAACCCTTTGACCGCGGGACGATTTTGGTGGAAGTCCTACGGAGTATACTACTGCCAGGGTCTCGCTCGTAGTTTAAAGCGCCCCGCCCAAATTTAAATTCGTCAAATCAATTTTTCGTTTTGTTACTAGATTTCGACATATACAGGGTGTCTGCGTACAAGTTCGGACATACGCAGGATGCCAATTCTACAACAATTTTCAACAAAAAATTACTCTTAGGCACTTTCTTTGTGTCGCCTTATTCTCGAGTATTTTCACTTTTAATATTTTTTCTGTGTTTCCGACTTGACACTCTTTTTAAACGGCCATAACTCCACCAAATTTCAGTGCAAACTTAAAAATATGTATACCATTTGAAAAAGCGTTAAATTTCCCACCTCTCTGATGCAAAACCAAAATTGGTTATGCAGATTTTTAGGTCAAACTTTACATTGTGACAATTTCAAAAAATTTGACTTTTCTCTATCCGTTTTTCGGTTTCAAATACATAGTTGTTTGGCGGGCACTCTCCGAGAAAAACTTCCTCGAAGTTTGAAGAATAATATTGTCAACAAAAATTATACGATGATATTTTAGGGAGAAAATGACGTGGAATGCAGAAAAGCGTGCGTTTTTAGTTGAAAATCGACATTTTTCAACAAAAATCGACTTGCCACTTTAAAATTAGCTTGACATCGGGTTTGATGTATTTTTTTGTGACACTCCCGAGGCTTCCCAATTAGGAAAAAAACTGGTTTCTCGACACCTCAAGTCTGATTGCAAGGTGAATAATAATTGTTTTTGAACATGTGTCCATAGAATTTTCATATTTAGAGATTATTTAATAAAAATGTACCTCGATGTACAGGAGAACCGATAAAAGAGTCTAAATTTGAAAAAATAATGTATTGGAACAAGAGAAAGGAAACCGTAATGTCCGCTAAATTCCAATAATAATACTTCATTCGTTAAATTAAAAGTTAATGTAAAAAAAGTTCAGAATAGATACAGATTTTTATTTATTTAAGTTTTAAGTATTGAAGTAGATTTTGATTAAATAGTCTCTAAAAATGAAAATACAGTTTATAACAATAAATATAGCAATAAATAACAATAAAAAGTCTTGACATTCGTCGAATACATCAAACTTAAATTCAAATTTACATCATTCGGAATGTTCAAAATTCTTCAAAGTTTTCAATAATATACAGTTCCACTATAGTGTCCTGAATAATATAATGTTATATTCTAACTGAACTCGTGCTATGCAAGACAAGTGAAAAAAATGAAAACTGTTTAACAATTTGATTTGCAGAGGCGTTCGGTGTAATTAAAAAATACATCTTACGAAGAAAACAAGAGATGAATTACGTACGTATCGTTCGTAACCATAAGTGGCATATTCGAGAGAGCTCTCATTTCTGTAGACCTTGCTATGGATACGGAGAAAACTGACTTGTAATCTGCATCTTCAAAAACTGGGAATAGGTACCGAGCATCGGAGCGTTTCAGTTTCGTCCCCAGCAGCCACCTGGTGTAAGAAGATAAAAACTATCGTCAAAGATAAAAAGAAAATAAAAATAAATAACTTTTACAATAAATAAAATTGTACAATGTACAGGGTGTAAAAGAATTAATGGTCACCACTTTCAGGGGTTATTGTACACATCTGGATCGGTAGACATTCGCAAAAGAAACCGTCCGCAAAATCCATTATGACCTTGAAATTTAAGGTCACAGCTTTTTTTAATTTTAAAAAATTCTACTCGACGTAGATAGATAAAAATATCTACTCGTGGAGAATAATAAGCCCTGTACAATAACCCCTGAAAGTGGTGACCATTAATTTTTTTACACCCTGTACAACCCAAGTATGTACATAGTTCTTACTTTTCTTCGCCAGACCCGCTATAATTTGCAACAAAAAATGCATTATCGTCGATCCCCGCTTCATAAGCAATTTCCAACGAATAAATTCCTTCCTGAATCGGACTCCCCAGGTAAAGTGTGTGAATTTCGTTATTCTCGTCCGTTTCGTATCGTGTAACCTCTATTTCCGACAAATTAATCTCTAAAAATACAGAAAACGATATTAACGTAAATTTGTCAACAAGCGAAACATTTGAACTACTTATATGCCATATTTTACCAGTTTTATTGAACGAGCTATGCTTCGCAGAGGATCCTTTCGAAGCTTCAACGAAAGATACGTTTTCCAATGGATATTCAGCATCTTGTTTGTACAAAAATGTCTCATTTTCCGTCGGGGTAAACGTAACGTCGCGTTCTACGGAGAAATTACGAATGTATGGGATTACATTGAACTTAAACGAACAACTGTGTATAAATCATATTTTCACAGTCTATATGTTTTTTGTGAGGTACCATGAGATCTTTAACGAAAAAAAGTTTCAATTTTATTATTGCCAAATATATTTTTTCGAGAAACGAATATTTTTTCGAGTATTACATTTCAAACAATTTTTCTTTTTTTTCTTAGGAACTTTTTTCTCATAAGTAATAGAAGTTGCTCCTATATGTTATTTAACGAAATATGCTCCATTTTGACCGAGGAAGTGAAAAATAATTTTTACTAAAATCAACGGCAATCCCTTAGCGAATTCTTAAAGAGGTCTTTCTTTCATTTTTAAAAAATTGGTTTTTCACTTTAGAGAAATACTGTCTATATGTTTTTTTAAGGTTCCATGGGACCTTTAACATTATTAAGAAAGCTATAAATTATTGAAAATAAGTCAATTTTTTGTACATATTTTCCGTCTAAAAGATATTTTTTTTAAATTCTTCACCTAAAGACACGACATTTTCTGTTTTGACAATTAAAATCCGTTTGCTCAATCAAAAGTTATGATTTTTGCAAATCTTAATAAAGAATTCTGGGCGAAATATCGATCAGAAAACTAACGTCCACAAAATTACAAACATAATTTTTATACATTTTCCGTCAGCGTAAATATATACATAACGTCGCGTTCTACGGAGAAATTGCGAATGTATGACATTACATTACATTTAAACGAGGAAATTATATGTAATATAATTATATGTAATATAAAATGTTGTATAAATCATATTTTGGAAGTCAATTGCTTATTACATTTACACGCGTTATTTTAAACGCTGGTATTTAGAAATAGTAAACAATTTAACGCAATCATCTACATATAGCTGACAAGGACATTTATTAAGAAATAAATAAATTAATTCTGAGAGCGAGGTATCGAAAAAGATTAATTTGGATAGGATTGGTAAATGCTAAAGAGCTCGCAAAAATAAGTACTGCTATAAATGTTAGACTATGTCATTTCTAATTCTATAGAAACAAAATTTTAGCCTTGTAAGAATTTTCACGATTATTAGTCTGGCAGTCAACGTGTTAACTATTTGCTGTCCATATTTTCTGATTTCGGTACAGTATGTCATCGCGGAGTGCTAAAATATTTGAACAATCTATTAGGATTTTAATCGAGTCTATGTAAGTTGAAAAAAAAAGTCATAATTATTATTTTACTTGTATCATTCATAGATTGTCATTTATATTTGAAACGTTCTCGTATTTCGAAACGTGTTGCTACTCAAATGGAAGGAATTACCAAGCGTTGTATCGTCGTGGTGTCTTTGGTAATTAGTTTCACCGTCGGCTCTCCTTCGTTGTCTCCTTCGTAATCGAGTCTTATCCTCTTCCGGATTTAACAACGACAGTTTATAGTTCGACACTGTAATGTTCTTCGCGTTTAAAGACAGTATGGTTAAACCTGTCGTGTCGTTTACGTAAAACTCGATAGCTACGTGACCATTTAGCCTCGATGGACCATTTATATTAATTATTGGCGTTAACTCGAGCTGGTATTTCAAGGGATAGACAAAGGGCGAAATTAGAATTTCGTCGATGGTGTCGATTTCATCCTCGATATCATCGCTGAGTAAATCGATGGTGTCGTACGACTACAAAATAGACGAATAGATAAGTGTAAACAATTTATTGCGAATAATTATTAAGATATTTAACCCATTCGCTGCCAACTACGAGACGTCTCGTAAATCAAATTGATTGCAATTGCTCGAGGGATAAGTTTATATCATTTTGTGGCACGAATTATTGGAAAAAGAAGATCGTAAACTTTCTTTTTAAAACAATAAATTCAATATCACTGTCTATTATTAAAATAATAACTAGACTGCGGATCTTTATGCATTTATAATATGTATGTCGAAATATGAAAAATATATGCAAAATATATGCAAGTTGTATGCCAGGTATATGCTAAATATAAGTATAGGGAATGTATGTATGGATCTATAAAATAATTATATAACAACTACTTATTATTTCTACACAATTATTTAATAACTATTTTTTATTGTTTTATTTATTATCATTTAAATTACAATATACAACAATAGTTTTTTTAATATTTTCGATTGCAAATTGTTACCTCTTATCTATTAAAATTAATGTATACGCCAAAAAAAGAGCGTTCCACACCACATGATGTTATAGGGGCATATTTAAATTTACTTCAATGATGTGCCAGAACCACTTGTGGTTCTTGCTTATTTTGAGTAATATATTAAAGTGTACGTTCCATTTTAATACTGATTCCATTTTATCTATAACTTTTTCTCCATAATCACCGGGTATAATTTTTAAATTTTCTGTAACTGTAGTTACCAAATCTATAGATTTTGTTAGAGGTAATCCTATTGTTTCCAATTTCGTAATAGCTACTGATTAACTTGGAAAATGGAGATTGACTCCGTCTGTTTACACATCATATCACCGACTTTCTTTTGTCTCTCACTGTATGTCGATACAGTACTTACCAAATCGAAATTAGAACACGTTGTCGATCGTAGCTGATCAATCTTTTAGGCACATCTATCTTATTTATTCTGGCGGACCAGTAAATATTCGGATATGCATTTATGCAAAAAATATGCACAATATGCAACATATGCTATATGCAAAATATGCAAAATAAAAAATATATTTTTGGAATCATCCAATCATGACATAAATTTCTGCCCAGGTCCCATTCGTCTATCTATTTTCTATAAAAATATACATTTGCATAAAGATCCGCAGTCTAGTAATAACCTAGATTACACATTTCTATTAACACTTTGACTGCCGCGCCTATTTTACGTGGTTTGCCCATGACGCCATGAATTGTCGCCATGTTGTCGCCGGTCACCGGTGGCCCCCACGGCAATCAACGTGTTAAATCTTGGCGCCCAAGGCAAAAACCTTCAAATTTGCCTAACAGTGAATGGGTTAATCGATCGATGAAATGCATATATTCGTCAAGGAGTACCATGAATAAAAGAGTTAACTTGTTCGCATTTCAATTTTCATGGTAACCGTTATGTTCATTCATTAAATAATACACAGGATAAATTTAACGACACTTTTTTGGAAGAATTTTGAAGCATTCGTTAGTCATAGAAGAAAAAAAATGTTCTTTCTCTTCAGATATTCCTCGGCGAGATATGAGCCGTTGATTGCACAAATCGATTAACTCCATGAAACAAAAAGTTGAGAAATGCAATGAAATAGGATCTGAAATAAATTGTTTGTTATTGAATAGCCAAAAAAGTTTCGCCGTCTAGGGCGACATATGTAATTTAAAAGTGATTTTTTGAACGTACAATATCAATTTTACTTATTCCAGAACACAACTAATTATTAATTAAAATAATAATACATTGACTCACGAATGTTCATAGATGTTTCTTTTCGAAGTAGAGTTTTTGGTTTTTATTATAAAAATGGACTGGACTTGATTCTATAAAAAAATATCTCGACCGCAAAGGGTTAATCTTTATTATTCAGGAAAGTTATTATAAATATAAAAAGGTATGTCTTTAAAAAAGGGGGGGGGGAAGAAGTAAAGTAGGGGAAAAATGGAACTACAAGGGGCAACAATTGGGAATAGTTAAGGAATATAAATACTTGTGGGTATGGTTCTCATCAGGGAATACAATGGAGAAACATATCCAAATGATAAGCGGGAAAGTAAAGAGAGTGATAAATGATAAATGGAGCATATACAAAATTAGCTAGACTTAGAAAACTAGCTAGACTGGTATAAGATAGAGAATTCGCGCTTCTGCAGAGGATATGAGGAGAGAAAAACAAGGAAAGGTTAAGGAAACATGGGCAAGAGTGAGATGCGGAAGCATAGGAAAAGTAGAAGGTAAAGGATACAGGAACACGAAACGCTCTTTATGTAGAGAAAAAGAGGAAACGATAGCGCACATGTGTGAATGTGTAGAAAGCTTGAGAAGAATTGAGAGAGAACGAATGAAGAGGTTGGAAGAATGGACGAAGAAAGACACTGGATTAAGGTTAGAAGAGAGGATTAACAAGTGTCTGAAGAGGAAGCCGGTAGTAGAAAGAATTGTGCGCATACATAGACGATTTTGAAAAAATAGTAAGAAAGAAGAAAGAGAAAGACAATAAGATTGAGGCAGATGGAAAAGGAGAGATGAAGAAATAGACTCACCGTACCCTAAGATAACCTAAGATTCTAGATTATAAGATTACTAGATAAGGAAAAGAGGATATAATGTAAGGAAAGGGGACAAATGTAAAAACCCATAAAGGTATACATGGCAACAAAATAAAAACTAACTAACTATAAAAAGGTATGACTGTACCAAGTGCTTCGACACTTAAATTTAAGATTTTTCAGAAAGTGGAGTTAAAGGGTAAAACCACTCTAGGATGTTCAAAAAATCAATTGTTTTCTTGCTTAAACGATACTTTAGGGTCATAAAAATAATACGTCATTTGATTTATAGTGAAAAAGAAATGTTAAAAGGTTCAATTATCGATTTTGCGCAGCGCCTCAGAGCGCGATTAAAGTGTTTACAAAACTTTAAACGCGTTTTTCTCGAAACCACTTTGTTCAAACTGGGAGGACGGATTTCTCAGTGACTATTGCATGGATCGAATTGAAATTTTTACAGTAGCTTCACAACAATATTCTCTTTGGAAGTACGTAGCCGTATTTTGATTGAATGTAAACATTTTTTTTTTATAAACAATTTAATGCTCACTTTTAGGGCAAAAAGTCGATTCATTGTTTAAAAAGTGCGCCACTTCCACAAAAATTGATTAAGAAGAAAAACC